AAATTACTAAAATTGCATTTAAACTCAATTTTTAAAAAAGTTACATTTTCTAATAGTATATATATTAAAATTATACATTAAAAATTTCGTTTAAGAATCGTTTAAAATATTATTATAATCTTGGTTTATAGTTTTATTTTATTTACAACTTTCTTCTTTTATGATCATTTTATTCATTAAATTTCTTCTAATGTCTGTTGTATTGCATTCTTCACCTTTCATTATGGGTTCCATAGAGTAATAATATTCAAATGAGTTAAAATAAAAGGAAAATAAATTTAAAATTAGAATTCGATTTATCCTGTGAATATAACAATTTCACCTGCAATTAACTTTGTATTTCTTGTTATTTTGATCATTCACAAATGTGATCAATGTTGATGTTCAATATATTAAATATCATTTTAAAAGAAAAAGTATTTGTTAACAGAAAATATTCTCGTACTTCGAGTCTGTAGATTTTCAGATCCTTTTAGTTTTAGTATTTTTAGAAAAAATCAATATTTAATTATCGATTTAAAACCATTTAATTGTGAATTTTACACTATATTTTTATTATAAATTCGATTTAAATTATAATTTTGGCATTTGTAAATAAAATGATTTATGAAATCAAATTATAACTAGATCCGCGTTAGACGGTGAGGGATAGTTAAATTTAAGATTATAAACTAAAATACAAAAATATATTCTCTATTAACTTGCAGAATCAACTAATTTAAAAATATAATATATACAGTTGTATTTAATATAAGTTTTTTTTATTAAATTTTCTCTGATTTAGGCGATTTATTAGATTTTTATCAATTGAATTTATACTTTAATTAAAATGATTTAAGTGGAAAAAATATTAGATTATAGAATTTTTATATTTTTATATTTTCCAACCGATCAAACGATGTATTCATTGAGTTATTTATCACTCACTTTAAGTTATAAAAAATTTCGCATCTTGTTTGTGCATACGTTTTGCCGATGAGAAAGTTTTGCTTAACTATTACAAGTGTGTAAACATACCCTTATGCAAAAACTGTAAAAAGGTTTTTACGAAACTTTTCAAAAATAAATAGTTTAATAATGGTAAAAAATAAGTTCTAAGTCGATGAAAGCCAGAAAATATTATCATAGGCTAAATTAATTTACAAAATTTTTGGGTTGCTCTCTCTAACCAGGTTGATCTAAGACTAATAAAGAAAAAAAATAAGACAAATTTTATAAATTTGCATAAGAAGAGGGTTGGATAATCTGGGTCGACCTCGCGGTCTTCCCGATTTATCACTCTGGCTTGATGTGGTATAAAATTTAAAAGACATTTTCTCGATGTTTTTAATTTTAAAAGCTTCTTATAAGCTTAATTTTGATCAAATGTGACTAATCATATTTTGATCAAAAAAAGATCAAAAATCAAATTATTTATCTTAAGTGATTATTGGTAAGCTACGTACCAATAATCATCATCAACCAATCAAATTTGATCATAAAATTGATCAAACTTCAAATATCACAAATAAGGCAAATCACAATAGTAAAATGTCACAAAAATCATTTTTACTATTTTTTCGAGATAAGGAGATAAAAAATGTCCAATCAAAATATTAAACAATTTTTCATCAGAAATCTCTATTTCCAACTAAGAGAATAATATATCGATGAATACAACAATATTTAAAAATTTTAAATATATATTTTTTCTTACCATTATTTTAAATATAATTAAAGTCTCCTTATACCTGTAATCAATTCTGAATACTTGAAAATGAATTTATTTATGTTTTTTTATAAAATTATGTATAAAAACTTTAAACATTAAATTATAGATAATTAATGCAATTTTTATTAGAAAATAGCTTAAAAAGGTTGTAAAAACCAACATAATGTTTCATTTTTAACATTGTAAAAAAATTTCTACTCGAAATAATAGCTAGAAAACAAAAAATGATAAGATTTTTTACTGTGTTTAGCATTTTATCATATTATCAAAAAGAGAATTTTTTTCATGTAAAAAGCTGTTATGAAAAATTTTGAGCAATAATTAAATAGTTAAGATATAAAACAACGAATTTTTTTTGCAAGTTGTTAGTTTTCTTGAATGTTTTTTTGACATTGAATTGAAGAAATTATTATATTGATAAGGTTGTATCTGTTTTTTAAAAACATTAATTTTTATTGTTTATTTTATGCTCAAAGGAAAAAATTAATATGCTCAATATATTAAGATTCTGTGTTTTTTTATTGATTTTTTTTTTTAAAATAAAGAAAACAATGATATATAGTTTAATGCACCATTGAAAGCTAGATTTATTTGATCGTTAATATTATTTTATAAAATTACAGTGTATTTACAATAGATGTTTCGAATAAAATTTATTTCTTTATATTTTTTCGTGCGACAGGATAGCACATATTTCACATATACTGTGAATAAGATAAGTTGTGTGTAAATTAAGCATATTAATGGCAGTTTTAACTTTGTTATCGTTTTTTATTTAGAAAAAAGTGTTATTTTTTCTTAGGAATTTCATTTACTGATAAAAATTAGAGAGAATGCAAGAATACCCTGCAGTTTAATTTTTAAAAAGACCCATTAGAAACAATTACAGAAGAATTTATAAAAATAAAAAGCTACATAATACAAATAATATATATAAAATTACGAAACGTTATGAACTAATGTTCATCAAAACATCTAATTGTTAATTTTTTAAAATATCGTAATCTTCTTGTGAATTTTTTTGATATTAAAAAATACTGTAGTAGTTCGATTGCTTCAGCAAAAAAAATGGTTTTATAAAATTTAATTTTGCGCCAGAATCGATCAACAACCAATAAGATGGCTTTGTAAAAATTTGGACCGAAAATTATTGTAAAGAGTTTTTTCAAATGAAATCCGGATGCATTCGAATCAAGGAGACAACAGTAGAAGAAGTCAATCTTGACAATTTTTGTGCCAGGCGGGGCACCGAGCTAATCTCTAAGAATATAAAAAATTATATATAACCCAAAGTTCCTTTTTTAATACATTTTTATCGAACCTAATTATTTTCAATGATGCCCGCAATACAAAAAAAATTCTAAGTAAATTAACTTAAAAAGAAAGTTTTTTGAAAAAAGAAAAGTTTTTTTCATCTATATACGCATTTATAATACTTGATTTTTTATAATTTTACCATCTTGTTTTAAATGTACTAAATAAAGGTTTAGTTACAAGCCAAGAACCGTGATGCAAAAAAAACTTAATATCGGGATTGCATTCGCTATAAACGTTTAAGTAAGAATAAAGAAATTAGGGGCAATGTATATCAACATAAATTAAAGTATATATAAAAGTGCGGCAACCTGCAATGTAAAAGTTTAAAACTAGAAATAAATTCATATTTATGATAATCTGTCTTATTCAATCGATTTTTAATATTGCTGTATCCAACGATCAGCACAGAGTCGTTTTAAATCTTGGAAAGAAACCGGAGAAAGGGGGTGTAGTTGCGAAAAGGAACTAACCATTCAAATTGTGACATATTCCTTCAACTATAAAAGACGTTGAGAATGTCCCTTTATGCAATTCTCAGGACAAGAAGACAGACGGCGACGCGACACTGGAAGACGATACAAACCCAGTTTTCCGCCACGGCAATGCAATACAAAAAATTCAATGCCACACAACTCGTCTTTATATTCCTTTTATTTAATTTCAAACCATTCGCCCGCAGAATACCGCAATATTTTTCCATATTGATTAAGTTGTTTCAACGTAGATAGAAAAAACATTGATATATCATCTTACAATTCTCATATAATATTTTTGATGTTTACTTGATGAATAATTTTTCCTTTTAAACGATTTTATTGATATTTTATTATACAATGCAATATATTTGACGACATAAAGGAAAAAAAATTCACATGTACTACATATTTGCAGCTGTAGCGGTTTATTCTACACTCTATTTCTATCTTATTTATTAAAATCTTCATATTTAATATTGAATAACATAATTTTATTTTATAAGGAATCATTAGGTATTTTACATATTTTTACCACTATTTATATGTAGTATTCATTATTTCTAAACATATCGAAATACCCAAAAAGCTATTTTTTTGCTCATTTTTCTCATTAAATGCTAAAAATAAATATTTAGAAAATCAAAATATATCAAAACTTGTTGTATCATTGCTACACAAATATTTACTTTTTTGTAATGTGTTTATTGAAATAGATAGTGATTTATTTGATTTACGAAAATAGATGCTGTTAGAAAAAATATAGTCTAACAAATATACTATATAAATATTTTTCTAATTATAAAAAATATTTCAATCAAAGCATTTAAGCTTTATATGAAATTGATGCAAACAGTTTAAATCTTTTAGTTTATTGCCTTTTACGTTTTTAAAATATAATGATAAGATATTATAATCTAGATCAATACATAAAACTTTGTGAATAACTTGTAATATTTGTATTTCATATAATAACAGAAGCTTATATTTTTAAAAAAATTTTGCAAGAGTTGAATATGAAGCAAATATCGATATATTCATTAATAAATTTAATTTTATATCATAAAAAATATCTTTTTATATTGATTAAAAGATTATTTTGATACAAATTCTCTGTTCGTAGTTTGATATGGGAAAAATAACGCATCACAACCTATTTAATGAGTAATAAAAATTTATGTAAAAAATAGCTAGATCACATAAAAAAATTGTTTGGAATTTTAAATTTTATAAAAATATCAATGCACTTAATCTGAAAAAATGAATTTTTTTAATTATTACCTTTACAATAGAGCGTATCTAAATGTTGCAAGCTATTTTGATTCAAATTTGAAATGATGATTTAAAATAAAAAAATCGATAATTTTTGATAAAAGCTGCTAAATTTTATTGATCAATCATAAGTATTATATAATATATTGATAAGGTAAAAAAATTTAAAACAAATATCTAAATGTTTCGATAAGATTATCGAAAACTGTTTCTCAAAATAGTAAAATTTCCTCCACCGGGGATCGAACCCGGATCTCTAGCTTGAAAGGCTAAAATTCTAACCATTGGACCATGGGGGATATGTAAATATCTGTTAAAACATATATTCCTTATTATAATTATAAATAATTGTTAATAACCAATTTTTTCTGCAGAAAAGGGTTTATTTTTGTGTTTTTTTTATTTATCATTATACATATGATAGTTTATGGGATATAATTAGGCTATATTTGTTTTACTTAAAATTATTATTTAAACCTGACAGGTTTCAAAAATAGTGTCAAAAATTTTATAAACAAATTTTGACTTAGAGGTCTTAAAAGATCGTAAATTACTGCAAAATAACGCACAAAACAGTATTGAGTTTTTAAATGTTTTATTTTTTTATGGAATTTTAAACACAAAATGACGCCAAACTATTTACATTGTTATAACCAAAAAATAAAAATATTCTCAATGTTTTTTTTATCCAAAATATGTGATTATAGATGTTCCATTATAAAAAATGTTTATTAATCATATTTTAGCTAAAAAATGCTTAAGCATTTTTTCTATTTTTTAAATCTCTTTTGCAAATACAATTTGATTTTTTCTTTTTGATATTTTCGCAAACTATTAGTATTAAAAGTACTTTTTATTAAATGAAAAAATAAAAATCGCAATACAATTTATATTTACAATATTTTTATTCGAGTTAAATTCATAAAAAATATATATCTACGATGATTAAAATTTTTATTCTTCGTATTTTCTTTTTTAAGAAATAAAAGGGTATATTGTGATATAAAATGTATTTCCATGTTTTAACTTTGTCAAAAAATATTTATGATAATTGTAATTATATTGAGGAAAAAACAGTATAAAATTTTTTGTATTTTAATTTTTAAATTATTACTTAGATCTACTCTTTCTTATATGTCGAATAATATTATTAAATTTCTTTCGTAAACAGATTTCATATTTTTTTAGTGAATCGTTTTTCTTGAATTAAATTTTTTCACTAAAAATCCAAAACTTTATATAGTTTAAAATCAGTTACAGAGATAAGTCGCACACCGTTGTTTGAAATAATATTCTTAAAATTTTTTTTAATTTATCAAAAATATACTACTCTTTAATTTTATTTATAAGGGTTGATTTACTGCTGTAATTACTTTAAACATATTTTTGAGTTTATTTTTTCTAATAATTAGATTCTATATTATAAACGATGATTTTTATAAACTTATGATGCAAAAAATAGATTTTTCCTTAAAAAAATTATATTTATAACATTAATTTTTATAAAGAAGAAAGATTACTGGAAACTTTTTATTAGCAAATACTCCATAACACCATGAATTGCAAATAAAGAATTTGTTAAAAGTTAAATTATAGGCCACCTAAAAAAATCTTGAAACAATATAATAGGTCAGCCGTTAAAAAAATTATCGGATACATAAATATCTAAATTAAAGAAAAAACATTGAAAATTTAAACAAGAAAATATCAAAAAAACCATAAAATAATGCTTTTAATTGTAAAATATCGAGGAGGTGTATATGTGATAAACATGAGACATTTTATATTTTATAATCATTTAGCTAATAACAAAGAATTATAATTACCCCAAGCAAGATAAAAAGACAAAGAAAAAGAAATACATTTTATAGAGAAAAAAGGAATATATAAAATAATAAAAGTTAAGTTATTAGAAAAATTAATTTAATTTTTACATTTTCATTTTTATATACATATTTTATCTATTTTTTATGTGTTTTGTATCTACAAAAGATTCTTAATTGAATTGAGAACCGATCTGGATACTCATCGTGTGCATCACCAAATTACAACAGAAAAGTTTAAATAACTTAAATCAAAAAGTCCAAAACAATTTTATTTTTTAAATAAAACCTAATTTGGAAATATATAATCAACGCTATGTGTGGTTAGAAATTACTAAAAGCAAAAGAAATATTGTTGGTTTGATATTTATTGTTTAGAATTAATGCTATTGTATCATTTAATTTTGACATTTTCGGAATATTAGTTTATTTGCTATTTTTTTATCACGAAATTATAATAGCTACTATATTTTTATGTTTTTGACGTTATGTAAAGACTAAAAATTTATTTATTACATTAATTTAAAAATAAATTTATTGATGATTTTTGACGGTTTATTTGATGTTTTGGTAAAAATCTGTTATTGACCTTAGAAAGAAAACGCTATTAGTTCTAAAAACCGAATTTGTATATTAATCGACAAATATTATAAATAAATATATCATACAAAAAATTTAAAATTTCTTAGAATTTTGTTCAAGATCAAATATCCACAAGTATTTTGAAAATTAAAAAAGTCGTTTTAAATAAAAAATCACTAAAAATGATTTAACAAAAATAATTTTAACCATACGGTTTGCATAAAGATTTTTTAGATATCAAATTTCTGCTTTAAGCCGTTTTTATTTATATTAATTTAAAAGTAAACTGAAAACTTGTTGATGCAAAGGTGTTAATTTCATAGTAAAATTGTTTTTATGTTGATAAAGAATAAAGTTTCAAATATATTTGTCGTTTCTCCAAGTAGAGAAGCGACGCCCTGAGACTTTACTGCAATGTAAATTATTTCAAGCATGTAATCTGGTATCGCTATTACTATGTTAAAAAAAATTGAATTTTTTTAAAACTGGTTTTATTGTTATTCCCGTTTATCTTTCACGTGGTAATTTTTTTATTTTAAATAAGGAAATTAGTTTAAGGTCAATTCAAATAAATGCAATAATCTTTTTATGCTATTTTTGACTATAAAAAACATCATTTATTTTTAATAACTATTCAAGATATTTGTAGAAACGTTATGAATTGTGTTCTGACAAAACCTAATGTTTCAATAATTTTAAATTACAGATTTTTTTAAAAAACTTTATAAAAATAGATTTTGGTAGAAAGAAAAAAAGAAAGAAAGAGATAGAAAATAAAAATTTAAACATAAAAAAATAATAAACCACAAAAAAACTGCCGGGAATTTTGATAATCTTTTTCATAATAAAATATAAAAATATGAAATACAAAATTTTTATAATAAAATACATATTGATAAAAAAATTATCGATGTGAAAAATCTGGACATATTTTTCGAAATGTATTTCAAAATTAGCAAAAAAATAATTTACGTGGATAAAGAAAAAACTAGTATTTAATGAAAATATCGGCACTAAAGAATATAAAATAAACAATACCATACTTTAATTAGTAAAAAAAACTTTACAAAATATTTTTTTTCAAAAATACTAGCCTTTTTATGCATATCGATGCTTCATTTGTTGTTATTTTGAACTGATTAATACAAAACACTTTTTTTGTGCTCTCAAGGGATGCTTAGGAAATTTTCGGTTTTACAAGAACTACTTATAAAAGCAGAAAACAATTTTAGATCCATAATCATTTTATCAAGAAAATGACCAGATATTTACTACCTCTAGTCCTAATGATCGCAGTACTCTTTCTTTGCAGTGATCGTCTTTTATACATATATTAAAATAAAAATCAAACATCTTATTTTACATGTAATTTTCTTTAAAGAGCCTATTGACGCTTCTCAAATTATCGCTAAATTTTGATAATCGTAATCCTTATGATTTTAGAGAAGCGAAGTAGTCCACCGAAATATAAATAAGTTTGTAAATTTTTGTATCTAAATACTGTAAAACTGCTAACATCAGTATTTTAGAAGTTGAAACAAAGAAGTTCTGTCAAAAAAAACTGAAAAAAAAATTAGAAACTACTATTTATTAAATCTTATATTTGAATTTTAATATTAATATGCATAAAATGCCTATAAATGTTTTGTGATTAGATTCTATGAGCTTCGTTTGTTTTTGTATGATTAAATTAAAAAAAAGAAGTCAAAAATCTAGCTAGAATTAAAAGTTTGAATAAAAAAATGCGTTTTTTGATGACTCTTTTACATGAAATTATAGCAAATTTATATAAGTATGTGTAGACCAATCAGTCGATCCCAATTGCCCAACATTGTTTATAATAACAAATATAATATATTGAAATCTTGTAATATTCATAGTATTCATAGTATTAAAGAATTAGAATCCAAAAAACCCAAAGAAGAATTTATTACACATGTTGATTTTAAGTATGTGCAAACCAAAGATTTGAAGAAACAGAAACCAACGACATTTTACAAAATCGGTAATGTAGCTTTATAAATATTGGATTGTTTTGAGTTATTGGAACATGAAAATATAAAATGTTTTTTGTGCACATTTATTTAACAATAAAGGCTCTTTATATTTTTTTCTGTAATATTTTCACCAATCGTCATTCATCAGACGACATATTTACCAACTTATAATTTATCAAAATCAATGAGATAAATTATTATAAACTAACCATAAATAAAATTTATTTTTGAAGATCATTTTGTTTCAAGTTTATTTCAATCTTCATTTTTATTGGATACGATAAAATTGATTAAGATAAAAAAATTATTTGTATTTTTATTGAATATTTGATGTGATATAATAAGCGAATATAATTTATATTTTTAAATTTACTCAATAAATATGCTTAAAAATATATAAAAATATCAAAATTGGTTTTAAAAAATAATAAAAGATGTTGTTATTTAAAACATTTTAGTATTCAACAATAGAATACTACACTTTTCCCATTATCAAATCAACAAAAATTCGTAAGTTTAAACGAGAAATAATTATTTGCACATCCTTAATTTTAATAAAGATATTCAAATCCAAAAGATTAATTTCAAAAAATATAAAATTTTAGAATTTTTTTCAATTCATAATATCAAAAAAATCGAAAATAGCTGCACAAATTTTTTTCATAGAAGCGTCTAAAACAGCTAGCAAATGTGCCGTCTAAAATATCTAGTACAATCTACATTCTAACTGCATGACCAACATAAAATTCAGAAATAACTTATAGAGAGCACAGTTAACAAACCTCTAATATCCAAAATAGCACTTTCAGACTAAATAGTGAGTGAGAGCGTTATGGGTAAGATAAAAGATTGGCATCACATATAATTTAAATAAACATTTTTGGTTTTTGATTTATT